AGTAGGAACAGGGATCCTTTGTTCAATTTGAAACATTGGATGAAACATAATTATTCAGTTATTGCTTCAACATCTGGCATTTCTACTGACCAAGCAGATCTTAGCAAAGGCAATGTTATTTTGTTTACCCCAGCTTTCTCTTAGCTGATCACTATTAGCTAGGCCTCTGGTCTCCAAACCAAACTCTGGACTTTGGGTCTGGAAAAGAGCTGGCATAATTCATATACCAGGTTGTTTATATAACATGCACATGGATTTTAACCCTTCACCCACGAACCCAAGTCACCTGGCATGGTCCAGCCGTGGGTTTTTCTTTGCTGTGTAGACATAGACATAGAGGAGAATGGGGGCATAAGACACCTAAATTACAACTCTGAAGAGGCCTCATGGCAGTGCAAGTTGACACAGATTAATATTTAACTGACCAAAAATGAATTGTTTTGATTCAGTTCAACAAACGGAAATATTTAAATTCGGGTTGACCCTACCTGAAACAAAAGATTTAATTTCAATTTTCCCAGCTGAAAAGAATCAGAAAATTTCAACAAAATCAAAAATGTCCTGGGGAAAAATCTGAAGAAGTTACATTTTCTATCAAAAACATTTTTAATGGAAAACTCCTAAACAGTCCTATTAACTACTGCTCTGAGATCAATAGAAATCCACAAGATTTAAGCATGAACACATTGGTCATTTAAAATCGCACTTCTTTCCCCTCTTACTTTATCTTAGTTCTTCTGGGATTTACAGCACCATCTTGAACCCACAGAATCTTTTGGGCTCTCCTTCTGAACTGTTGCTAGTATAGTATATATGATGTCTGATTAAATAAATCTCTTTGCTATGTTAACCACACCTAGGAGACTGAATTCTCCATTACAGTGGATGAGCTCTGCTACAAGGATCACAGCAATACAAATTAAGCTATCCTAGTGGCACTACATATTTCACACAAAATGGAGGCAATAATACAATGGAAAGAGAGCTGACCTTTATCACAAAACTGCTTCAATATACAGGATATGAATTGGTGAGAAGCAACAGGATACCTCAAAAAAGCTTCAGAGTCCAGGTTCAGAGTGATAAGCACCCTAAAATGTAAAGACTTATTCTTCGTTTCCACATTTTTCAAGTCAGTAGGACTTCTGAATGCACAAGAATTGCAGGTCTGGGACTTGAGTTAGCACAGTTTGGCTGGAAATTTCACAAGAACAAGTTCTCTCTCATGTCTGAGAGTGGTCTCTTTTTACTTGGGTCAC